CTTCCTTCCTTCCTTCCTTCCTTCCTTCCTTCCTTCCTTCCTTCCTTTGCACTTAACAATAGCATTTAGACTTATATGCTGCTTCACAGTGATTTCCAACCCTCTCTAAGCGGTTTACAGAGTCAGTTCATTGCCCCCAACCATCTGCATCCTCATTTTACCGACATGGGAAGGACGGAGGCTGAGTCAACCTTGAGCCGGTCAGGATCGAACTGCTGGCAGTCGGCAGAGTCAGCCTGCAATGCTGCATTCTGCTACCAGGGCCCCTTTTTAAGGTTTTAGGATGATGTAGTCATGTGTCGGTGTAGTATCTGTGTGGATGCAACCAGGGTGGCCTTTTGAAATTGACAGATACAAATATTGTCAATGCCCAGAATTTCTGAGTGCCATGTAAGATTTTTTGGGGGTGGGTATAGCATCGAATGTGCCAATAACCGCTGGGACCATTACAGCCAGTTTATGCCACAATCCCGATCCATCGATCAATCAATCAGAATAGAGCTGGAAGGGGCCTTGGAGGTCTTCTAGTCCAGCCCCCTGCTCAAGCAGGAGGCCCTATACCACTTCAGATCAGTGACTGTCTAGTCTCTTCTCAAAAACCCTCCAGTGTTGGAGCACCCACAACTTCTGGTAAGTGGCAAGCAGTTCCACTGGTTAATTGTTCTCATGGTTAGAAAATTTCTCCTTAGTTCTAGGTTGCTTCTCTCCTTGATCAGTTTCCCTCCATTGTTTCTTGTCCTGCCCTCTGGTGCTTTGGAGAATAATTTCACACACACACACACACAAACTCTCTTCTTTGAAAATCTCTCAACTTTGATTTTCGTATTTGTGTCATTTGTGACCTTCTCCAGCAATTTCTCTTCCCTTCTGCCATCCCCTGGAATGGTTCCCATCCATCACCCACACACCTTTCCTTTTAAGACGGCTAGCTGTTTCTGTTTGGAAATTCCCCAATGTTTTAACTTGGTCGTTTTATTTATTTATATTTGACTGCTTTTTCCAAGTCTTGCATTCTCACCACTTTTTTTCATTCCTGGCTGACGATCCTCATTTTTTTTTTGACAGATGTTCCAGTGAATCATTTGGGCAGCAGTCCTCGGATGGTGTATCATCGACCTGTGCAATCTGTATTTAAATTCATTTCACGTAGAACGGTGTCGTGCGGTGGTAGTTGGTGGTGGTTGTATAGTACAGGGGTCTCCCACCATGGCCACTTTAAGAGTTGCGGACTTCAACTCCCAGAATTCCCCAGCCAGCCTGCCTTCTTTAAGATGGGTGGATTCTGGGAGTTGAAGTCTCCATGTCTTAAAGGTTGAGAAAAACTGATGTAGATGAAGGATATCCAACCTTGGCCACCTGGGGACTTTAACTCCCAGAATTCCCCAGCCTGCCTTCTTTAAGATGGGTGGATTCTGGGAGTTGAAGTCTCCATGTCTTAAAGGTTGAGAAACAGTGATGTAGATCAGGGATATCCAACCTTGGCCACTTTAAAGACTTGTGGACTTCAACTCCCAGAATCCCCCCAGCCACCATGGGGAATTCTGGGAGTTGAAGTCCAGAAGTCTTAAAGCAGCCAAGGTTTTACACCCCTGCTTTAAAACAATCTTGGGTTTTTCTACCTGCCTAAAGGTTTTTTAAAAAAGCACATTTCTACAAAAATGCAAAGTCAATCGGATGGAAGGGGAGTTGTGACTAATTTGTGCCGAGTTTGTGATGTATAAGGACTCCTGCCTGGGACAAGGGGTTGGACTAGAAGACCTCCAAGGTCCCTTCCAGCCCTTACGATTCTATGATTCCTTCCTTCTTTCTTCACTCCCCAGGAGAAAAGGGGGGGCTCTCGCTCTCTTTGTGTGTGCGTGTGCGTGATTTTGGAAGGGCAAGGACCTGTATTTTTATTTTTCTCTTTGGTTTTAACTGATTTGGGGATTAGTCCCTGTCTTTGAGATGGGCGGCTGTAAAAATAGAATCAATCAATACAAATATATACAGGTTGGAGACCCCTGGTATAATATATAGCAAGGTTCGCCAACCTTTTGGACTTCAGGGACCACCAAACTCCTAATTTTAAATCCCTCGGACCAGAGACCCTGGGAAAATCCCCCAAAAAGTCTGCAGGAAAATTCCCCCACCCCGTTTTCCTACCGATCGATCGTTCTTTATTTGGGATCGCAGGATACCGTCTCCAGCTCCGTTCTCAGGGGGAGAGAGAGAGAGGGAGAGAGACTTTTGGCTACTAATACTAATACTACTACACTAATACTACTACACTAATATTAATACTACTATATGCTATACCAGTGGTCCCCAGCCACCGGGCCCCGGACCGGTACTGGTCCGTGGATCATTTTGTACCAGGCCGCCTATTTTGCTTGGGCACCGCCATCTTGTTTCGACGGCGCTTGAGAAAGTGCTTCTGGGTGAGCTTGTCGGTCGTCAGTTGGAAAGCGGCGTTTGGGTGCTGAAGGAATCCTCCTCGCGCCTTAGTTTCGTCGAAGAGGGGGGCGGCTTCGAACGAAGAGCCGTCCCGATGGCGGTGGAGTCTCGCGTTACTCAGGAGGAGATTAAGAAAGAGCCCGAAAAGCCCATCGACCGCGAGAAGGTACAAAGGAGGAGTTGAAGGTGGCAGGGAGAAGCGGGGGACGGCTGGCTGGCCGGTCGCTCGGCTCGCCTTGCCTTGGTCGTGCGTGCTGATGCCGGTACCGGTCCGTGGATCATTTTGTACATTTTGTACCGGGCTGTGGTACAAAAAAGGTTGGGGGCCACTGTGCTATACTAATACCATACTAATACTATACTACTATACTTATGCTATGCTAATACCATAGTATTACTATGATATACAACAACATAATGTACTATAATATACTCCACTATACTATAATACTCTACTATACCAATATGATATGAT